CCCTGTCCAGTCACTCCCACAATCCATCCCCCCACACCCACCCACCCACCCATCGTCACTGCAATCTGTGCTTGTACTGTACTGCTTGGCAGAGGCCGTGGGTGACGAAATCCACTGCAGATAGTGTGAGTTTGATGGTTTGGAATCGTGTGTTTTTTACTTCTGTTGAGGGCGACTCAATGATGAAAAAATGTCTAATTCGGGTCTATTTATGAAGAACTATAAAATCTAAATTAAAATATAAAAACGTTGATGGTTTTGTGTGACTAAGAACAAACTAATTTAGAGCGAATGTGTACATTGTAATTGTAAAAAATAAACTTCAAATTGTCTTAAATTATGCATTTCATTTGAGGGCTACAGTGGGTATGAGCCCAATTTAATTTTTTTTTTTTTTTTATGATTGTAATTCACATACCACAGTTTAAGACTTTGCCTCAATTTCCTGTATTATTTTCAGGTTATATAAGATTTTATTTACAATTAGGTATTATATGATAAGGTTCATGAATAGGAATACACACACACATATTTATATATCCAGGTAAAAAGATACCTATACAATAATATATATGCATATATATATACGTTTGTTAATCAAGTAATGATATGAGTACAAAAGTGTGTTAACAGCAGAACTGTTTGGAAAACTGGTAGAAAACTTGTCGAGATATCTGCTGTGCAAGGCCACGTGTGTACACATTTTATTGCCACAAAAGAGTCTGTTCAAAGGAGCATCACAAACATATATTGTGCACACTTTTAGGCCATTCAGTTGCATAATATTTGAACAAGTGACAAATTGTAACCAATTGCTCTCATTGTCTGTATAATAATAAACGTGGTGTTAGTAGTCTTTGATGAGTACTGAGAAATATCTAAGATAAACATTTAGAGCCTGGAAGCACTAAAACATTTCCAGGAAGCTCACTGAGACCTACGTTATATTTTCCTAGAGGGTCACTCACTCAATAATAAGGCAAGACCCTTGAGGTTTTCAGTAGAAAATTGCATCCGTTTCCCTTCTTCTGCCTAATCTTTATGGCATACACATCTTTGTGTGTGTGATGTTTTGTGTCTTTGTGAACTTGTTATTGATCAGGCTTATGCAACTTGTTGACAGATGGATTTAGAAAAAAAGATTTTCATGGGATTACTAGATGGACAGGGGTTTGGACCTTATGTGTATCTTTCAATTACTGTCACACACTCAGACTCACGCAGGTAAGTAACAAACT